ACCCGTACCTCTATGTTCCTTCTAAAGTCCCTGCCTGCACCCCCAAGCTAAAAAATATCTGACAAAAAAGAGACGTGATTATCAAAGCACTCACCCCCCAAACTCAGATGTCAGGTCCTGTTCTCACTTGGTGTCACCACAGGGCAGGGGACAGGGTCTCTGCTCCACCCATTCCCGTCAGCACTCACTCTCCAGCTGCTACTCGTTTTTTGAGCACCTGCCCTGCTGCAGGCACTGGGCTAAGTGCTGGGGCCACGGCCAGCCCCCAAGGAGCTCACAGCCAGTTGGGGAGAAGATGGATGAGCCGGACAGTGTCATGAGTTCTATATTAAAGCTTTTAACAAAGTGCCGAGGGGATGGAGGAGGAAGCCGTGAATTCTGCTGCATGGAGGAGGCAACATCTGAGCTGGACCAGTGAATGAGTAGGATTTGCCAAGTGGTAAAAGGACTTCGGGTGGGGGGCATTTCATACGAGGAACTGCATCAGAAAGATGCAGATAGCCCTTGGCATGTTTGGGGAACCCAGGGCATGCAGACCAGTGCTGCCTGGACAGAGTGGTGGGTGACAGGAGAGTCTGGAGATGAGCCTATAAAGGTGGGCTGTGACCATAACATACATGAGAAATATAATGAACACTGTTGTCTGTTACATGCAGAAGTTGTTAAGAGAGTAAATCCTAAGAGTTTTCATCACGAAGGAAAAAAATCTATTTTTTTCTGTCTTTAATTTTGCATCTATATGAGGAAAGTGTTTGGAGCCTGCGGGGAGGAGAGAATCCCCCAGACAGGGTTCAGGGACTGGGGGATTCTTGAATAGTGGGGAGTAAACTCCACTCCTCACAGGGCCCCAGGCAGGGAGGAACCGAGCTTGGGTACAAGGGCAGTGACATCACTCATTCTGTAGGATAGGTGGGTTGGGACAACGGGAATATTCGAGGTGAATATCCCGGTGATAGGGTCTGTGGACCAGAGGCCTCCACCTGAACTTCTATCATGGCTTTTTGGGATTTATTGTTATTTGCAGCTCAACCAAATTCAAACGAATTCCCTGCTTGCTGGGTTGAATATCAGACCCAGAGGAATCTGATCTCTCAGCCACATAAAAGCCATCACTCCGAAAAGCAGAGGTTGTAGCCCTTTTTTTTTTTTTTTTTACGGTACGTGGGCCTCTCACCGCTGCAGCCTCTCCCGCCACGGAGCACAGGCGCCGGGCGCGCAGGCCCAGCGGCCACGGCCCACGGGCCCAGCCACTCCGCGGCACGCAAGACCCTCCCGGACCGGGACACGAACCCGCGCCCTCTGCATCGGCAGGCAGACCCCCAACCACTGCGCCACCAGGGAAGCCCTGTAGCCCATTTTAAAACCCAATGAAGGCCATGGATACTGCCCCAGAAAAATGCATGCACGTGACATGCTCCACCCGTACCTCTATGTTCCTTCTAAAGTCCCTGCCTGCACCCCCAAGCTAAAAAATATCTGACAAAAAAGAGACGTGATTATCAAAGCACTCACCCCCCAAACTCAGATGTCAGGTCCTGTTCTCACTTGGTGTCACCACAGGGCAGGGGACAGGGTCTCTGCTCCACCCATTCCCGTCAGCACTCACTCTCCAGCTGCTACTCGTTTTTTGAGCACCTGCCCTGCTGCAGGCACTGGGCTAAGTGCTGGGGCCACGGCCAGCCCCCAAGGAGCTCACAGCCAGTTGGGGAGAAGATGGATGAGCCGGACAGTGTCATGAGTTCTATATTAAAGCTTTTAACAAAGTGCCGAGGGGATGGAGGAGGAAGCCGTGAATTCTGCTGCATGGAGGAGGCAACATCTGAGCTGGACCAGTGAATGAGTAGGATTTGCCAAGTGGTAAAAGGACTTCGGGTGGGGGGCATTTCATACGAGGAACTGCATCAGAAAGATGCAGATAGCCCTTGGCATGTTTGGGGAACCCAGGGCATGCAGACCAGTGCTGCCTGGACAGAGTGGTGGGTGACAGGAGAGTCTGGAGATGAGCCTATAAAGGTGGGCTGTGACCATAACATACATGAGAAATATAATGAACACTGTTGTCTGTTACATGCAGAAGTTGTTAAGAGAGTAAATCCTAAGAGTTTTCATCACGAAGGAAAAAATCTATTTTTTTCTGTCTTTAATTTTGCATCTATATGAGGTGGTGGATGTTCACTAAGCTTATTGTAATCATTTCGTGACGTATGTAAGTCAAATCATTATGCTGGACACCTGAAAGTTACACAGTGCTGTATGTCAATTACATCTCAATAAAACTGAAAGGAAAAAGAAAAAAAAAAGTGGGCTGTGCCCAGAATCAAAGGACTTTGAACTGATGCTTTGGGCAACAAGGAGCCAGAGAATGACGTGACCAGATGTGTCTGGCAGTGACAAGAAGGAATGGGGGACAGAGGGCAGGGAGACTGGAGCCCGGGAGCCGCTGGGCAGAGTTTGGGAGTCAGGCTTGGCGGGTGGACCCAGCACCTCTGAGAACAGCAGCTGGAGTCACCGAATCCAGCGGCTCTCACAACAGAGCCCTTGCGTCTCCTTCTGGTCTCACAGGACAGGCGCAGCTGCCCTCCTGTTATTTCAGGTGGGCTCTGCTTCCTCCTCCACCCCTCGTTACCCCACCTCCTCACATCTCCCTGGCTTGCTCTAAAACAGCCTTTCATTCCAGAATCACAGAGGAGCCTCAGATGCACACACTCCTGGGGGATCTGACTTCCTCTAATCCACCCTCATTCAACAGCTGGATCCAACACAGATTTCCTGAGACTCTCCCACTGGGCACAGAGAGAGCCCTGTGAGCTGTGAGGGAGGCACAGACCCCGCCCTGATGATGCATTAATGCATGGGAAGGAGGGTGGCATGGACACCAAGAATGGTCCTTCCTGCAAAGCAGCCTGGGTGTGTGCACAGCCTGGGTGTGTGTGGGTGTTTGGGGAACTGAGGAGGAAAGGAGTCACCCCTCTGGGTGGAATGGGAGTGGGTCAGATTTACAAAGTTTCAATAGTGGACCCCAGGGTTTAAAAAACAGAAGATTTGGGTTTCAGTTCTACCTTTCATAGCTGTGTGAAAGCAAGTCATGCCACCTCTCTTAGCCTCCGTGTTCTCATTTAGAAAGAAACAAATGTACAGACTTCATTTACAATGCTGCAAGGATGATCCAATAAGATACTGTAAAGCTCAGTGTCTAGGGATGGGATTGTAATCATGTGGTAAGCAGCCTCTAAAATGGCCACCAAGGCTTCCCTGGTGGCGCAGTGGTTAAGAAACCACCTGCCAGTGCAGGAGACACAGGTTCGAGCCCCAGTCCGGGAAGATCCCACATGCCGCAGAGCAACTAAGCCCGTGCGCCACAACTACTGAGCCTGTGCTCTAGAGCCCGTGAGCCACAACTACTGAAGCCCAGGCGCCTACAGCCCGTGCTCCGCAAGAAGAGAAGCCACCGCAATGAGAAGCCCACGCACCGCAACAAAGAGTAGTCCCCGCTCGCCGCAACTAGAGAAAGCCCGTGTGCAGCAACGAAGACCCAACACAGCCAAAGATAAATAAATAAATAATTTTAAAAGATAAAATGGTCCCCAATGATCCCTGCCTCCTGGTGTTCACACCCTGTGTAATCCTATCCTGGGTGTGGGTTGGACCTAGTGACTTGCTTCCAACCAGCAGAATATGGCAAAAGCGATAGGACCGCACTTCTAAGACGAGGTTACAAAAAGACTCTGGCTTCCATCTTGCTCACACTCTACCGCTGTCTTCCTTGCCTGCTCTGATGGAAGCCAGCTGCCACGTTGTGAGCCGTACTATGCGGAGGTCCACGTGGCAGGAACTGAAGGGGGACACTGAATCTTGTCACAACCACACAAAAGCTCTTAAAAATGGATCTCCCCCCAGCAGTGGCTGAGGTAACCCTGGGAAACACCTTGAGAACAGCCTGTGAAAGACTCTGAACCAGAGGACCCAGTTAAGTCACGCTTTGCTTCCTGATCCACAGAAACCCTGAGATAATGTGTTTGCTGTTTTAAGCCTCTAAGTTTTGGCATAATTTGTTATGCAGCAGTAGCTGACTAATACAATCAGGGTGATACTGAAACTGTTTAGTAACCAGCTTAGTACAGGCATTAACCAATCAGAGCAGATGCTGACTGCAGCAACGGAGCAGGGTCTGAGCCACTTGCTAGAGCACTGGGAGTTCAGGGTGGGGACAGTGGAGGGGCAAGTGAAGTGGTGGGAATTAATCTTATGGAAATACTCACACAAGGGCATAAAAGTAGCTATTTGCAAGAATATTCACTGCAGTTGTTGTAGTGAAAGATTGAAACAACTGAAGTCTATGCACAGGGGACTGGTTCAATTAAGGTACATCCACACAATGGGCTATCACACAGCCATTAGGAAGAATGAGACGTGTGGTGATGCAGAATGATGGGCAAGATATACTTTGTTCAGGAGCAGAACAGAGGACATCATATGACATCTTTGGCGTTAAATATACGTACGTATACTTACCTGAAGGCTTGTAGCCCTAGAAATACCCTGGTAGCCCTGGTTGCCTCCAGGAAGGGGAATTGGAAGATGGGATCAGGGATAGGAGAGAAACCTAATTTCCCTGTCTCCTGAAACCCCCTGGGATGCTCCTTCTATCAACTGGGGGTGGGGAAGCAATTATGGTTATGTTCTGGGAGGACTCATAAACCCTAATTTGGTGTCTTTGGAGATTTTCTAAATAGAGGGTGTGCTGAGTGGAAGGGCCCTGGCTCTCCCCCTCCACCACCAGAGCAGTCCCTGCCCCCCCAGAGATTTTATTGGAAAAACCGGTTCCTCTGCTTGAACGAAGAAAAGTTGGAACTCATTCTGCCCCTTTTCTTCCCTCAGTTCCCACTCAACTCTCCACCACCCCTCCACTCCCTGCCACTGCCATTGCCCCTGCCAACCTGGCTCAATCTGAGCTGAGTCCAGCCCCATCCAGGGATCTCTGTGGATCCCTGGGGACTCACCTGGTATGTCCGGGGATGGATTGAGAATCATGAAGGCATCTGACAGGCCTGCTTTGACGGGGTGCTGGGACGAGCTGATTTCCAGGACGGGCATAGGGATCTGCAGTGGGAAGAAGAGGCTCTGTCTACCCCCCAAACGCTCTTGGGCCAGCCTAGACTTCCCCTCCGAGCTCCAGACCCATCTGCCTGCTGGGCCTTGCCTCTTGGAGGACTCAGACATCTCAAACCCAATGGGGCCCCATCCAAATTCCAAGTCTTCCCCACACTATCTCCAAACACATTTCCTTTTTCTTTTCTCCCTCTTTGTGAATGGTACCTCCATGCAGGCCAGAGACCTGGGAGTCACGCTCAGTTCGCACCCCCCTTCATTTCCCTCCTCCTCCATCTAATACATCTCTAATACATTAGCTTGCTAACTGGCTCTCAAATCTATCCAGTTCTCTCCATCGCCCCTCCCTACCCCAGGCTGGCATCACCTGTCTCCCACATCATCTCCCAGTATCCCCTCTGAGCCCCAGCCCTCTGCTCTCCACTCTGAAACCAGAGCGTCCTTTAAAAGGCAAATCCGGTTGTCCCCCTGCACCCCCCTTCTTGCCCTCACTCTCTCCCCTCCGGCCAGGCTGCCTTCTTGCAGAGGTTTCTACCGGCCATGCTCTGTCCTGCCACAGAGCATGTGTTTTCTCGCTCCTGGAGCACACTTCATTTCTTTGCTTCTTTAGCTCCTACACATTCTGCAGATTTCAATTCTTTTCCTCGGGAGAGCCTTCCCTGACCCCTGTTCAGGTAAAGAGCCCCGTGAAAGGCTTTCCTAGAATCTCCATTTAGGAGCACTTGTCACAGTGGCAATTCCATACTTCTCCCCACAATTAACATCTATCCCTCCAGCCAGACTCTCAGCTCCACAAAGGTAGGGCCATCAGCCATCTTATTAACTGCTGTATCCTCGGCACCACACCCTATGTCTGGCACATTGGAGGATCTCGACAGATAACTGCTGAATGAAAGAAAGGCCGTCTCTGCAGCTGGGCCCACTCACCTCTTTGTAGCCGAATACAATGCGGCCATCTTGGTGCAGAGCTGCCTGGAAGGTGAAGCTGCCCCTGTCCTCCCGGTCCTGGAGGTAGACGTGGTCCCACTGAACAACAAAGACTGTGCCTGGTGAGGAGAGCAGAGACCTGGCTGGACAGGGAGACAGTGAGGGGAGCAGGGCCCTGCGGAAACGGTGGCCAATGTGGATGGGCCACAGCTTGGCTTCCCTAGGGATGATGGGGCAGGAGGCAGGAGCTGGGCAGCCCACAGACAGCCTGACTTCCAAGCTGAAGAGGAACCAGAAAACCCTTCTTCAGCTTCCCCACCCCCAACCAGGTACTGTGATTGACCATCTCCAACCCCAAGCACGCCCCTTCCTTCTTGCCTATCCTGACCCCTTGAGATGAAATAGGAGAAACAACTGTTCTCCCGGGGTGGAAGGTAGGTGTTCAAGGGACAACCTGGTGAGAATAAGAAACAGTAAAGGTCTCTGATATTTATTTCACCTCTACTAAGAGCCAAGCGCTTTCATTTCATTATCTCATCAGGTAGCAGGCATTTTTGTCCCCATCTTACAGGTGAGGAAAATGAACACAGAAAGTTAGGGTGGCTGTCTTGCTGTGTGACTGTGGGCAAGTCCCTTGCCCTCTCTGGGACTTGGGCTCCTCTAAACGGGCTGGACCAAGGGAGCCCTGGAGCTGGGTAACTTAAACTCTGAGCTCTGATCTCACCATTGTCAAAGTAAGCAACTGTGGAGTTGTCGGAGCGGCCAGGGTTGAAGTTGGCCATCAGAGGAGCCACATACTGAGTAGCCGTGAGCATCCGATGGACCACATCACCCATGAAGATGAAGCCTGGGGTGGGAAGAAGTGTAGACAAATCATCAGAGATGGCCCAGAGGGGTTGCTTCCTCGTGCAGGAAAGAGCAGTGTAGACGGGGCTGGAAGTGAGTCTTGGACCTCTGTCCACCAGCCTCACATAGTGGGCATGGCTCTGGCATGTATGGAGCTAAAGGGCCCCAGACCAGAAGGTTCTCTCTGCCCCTCCCACCTCTCTCTGTCCCTTGGAAAGTGCACAGGAATCAAAGACATGCTCCTCATATCAACTGGAAGCCTGGTCCCAGGAAGCAGGCTCTCAGTGCAGTCTCCTCCCTCTCATTTACAGACTCAAGAAGCACAGGGGCCAAGGGACTGCCCACAGTGGCCTGCACAGACCCAGAGGGAGAGAAAAACACACACACACAGACATACACACACACACACAAGCAAGTCAGTTGATGTGAGGAAGCTGGGCTGAAACACTGATGACTTCTCTCCTGAGAGTGGGGTCCCAAGAAAGCCACATGTGGGACCCTCCCCAGTCCATCTGTAAAACCCTGTCTCCAGGGAACCTTCCCAGGTAGGTCCCAAGTTCTGGCTGAAATCACACACTCTCCCAGTCCCACAGACAAGGCCTTACCTCCGGTTGCTATGGTGATCTGCCGCAGACGATGCCCATAGAAAGGGAAATCAAAGGACAAGACCACTCTCTGTGGGGGATGGGAGAGAATCAGCATGGGCCAACCTGCAGGCCGGAGGGCTGGGCATCCACACTGCCCCATGCTTATCTGGATGGGATTGGGGGGGGGGTGGGCACAGGCATGTCCAGGGCAGTACCACAGGAGGGCACTCCAACTCTAGCAAAGCCCCCCAGGGTCCCCTGGAAGGCACTTCCCAGACCACAGACCTCAGGCCACAAGCCATGCCCACTGACCAGCTGTGGCGGGCTGGCCCCCAGCCTCCCAGCCCAGGGCAGCGCTGCCGGGGACTGGGGCACTCACCGAAGCCTGCCGGTGGGTGTTGGAGAGGATTCGGTGAACTTTCACTTGGCTCTGGTTGGCCTTGGCCACGTCCACCCACAACTCCCGGCTGCGGGGCTCGCTGGGACCATAGAGACGGGACACATAGTAGCTGTGGTTGTCCTCCTGTCGTTATCCAAGACAGAGCCCACAGGAGGCATGAGGAATCAGGATGCCAAGAACCACAGAGTCTGGATACAAGAATTCATGGCCCTCCCAGGGGGGTAGACCGTGGCCCAGAGCTGGTTTAGGCCTGGGAGCCCTTTGGGCCCGGAGAGCTCAGTACCTGCTCCCTAGCCATGCCCCCAACAGCTCTGGCCCCAGCTAAATCCATACCTGCTGTAGCCATGCTCCACCCTGCCATCCCCAAGACAGGCCAGGAGGCTTTTCCTGCAGCCCCTGAGTCCCCCACAGAACACACCCAAGGCACAGCTCAACTTGGGAGGTGAGGGAGCAACAGGCAAGGCAGCCCCAAACAGAGCCCTTGTCTTCGGGGAGCTCCCAGACTGAGGGGGAGACATAGCCCCCTTCCCTGGGGAGCACCCAGTTTAGGGGAGAAGAAAAAACTGGATTCAGAAGCCACCAGTCTAAAGATGTTGATCTTGGGGCATTGCTTGGGGCATTGCTAGTCTGATGGAGCAGGTGGGACTTACACAAACAGAATACACAGACACAGACCCTCCAGCAGAGAGATAAGACAGGGCCCATGTTAGTCACTAAAGGCTTGAGAGACGGGAGAGAAGCAGCAATGATGCCTTCAAGACATATTTTTAAGCTTTACTATGTGCCTGATGGGGACAAAATAAAAGAACAAGCCAGAACCCAGAGGGCTGGGGGTTAACTCTGTAAAGCCTCTCCTGTACAGGAGCATTTAGGGGCAGGATTTAAAGGAGGCTGGACATGGTCAGCAGAAAGTGTGGAAGAGCCCAGGGAGGAGGCAATGTCAAAGCATTTCAGCCCATCCGGGAGTACCAGCCACCAGCTGTAGGAGAAGAAGAGGCAGAGTGGGCAGGTCCACTCGGCCGCTGCCACAGAAGTGGAGCTGCTGACTCGTGCGGAGCCCTGGCGGGTCATTAATCAGGCTGTCAGGCTGCAGTGGCCGCAGACACAGCAGAGCCGACCATGTTCTCCCTGCCAAGCTGCCAGCTGCCCAGCCAGCCCTTGCCCTGGGCCCAGCACGAGCAGGGCCGAGGGATGCCTGCTCTCTCCACCCGCCTGGAGACAGACTCTGCTCTTCTGACAAGTGACACACTCTGGGGACCTGGGGTCAGGGCAGGGCTGGGGGAAGACGAGCAGGAGAAACATGGGGCTGGGGGTAGATTTCCCACTGCCACTGCCTGGTGCCTCCCCTCCAGCCTCTAGACTGCCGGCCCCTCCACCCATCCTTAGCACGGACGTCAAACAAATCTAAACAAATCTAAAACACATACGAGGCCACAGCCCTCTGCTCACAAGCCATCAGGGTCTCCCACTGCACTGCCCTCGAGACAAAATCCAAACTGCAGCCTCACATCCGAGGTCTCACCGTGAGCCAGCCCCACCTTCTCTCTAGCTTCACTTCTCTCTCCCTCTCTCCTTCGCCTGTGCATCCTTGTGTACCCACTCACCAGACTGACTCCCCAACAGTCTGAGGCCACCAGTGGTCACTCATGCCTTTGCTCACGCTGGTCCTCCTGCCTAGAATGACCTTGCTTTCTCCCCCTGGCAGATTCCTGCTTCTTCAATGCACAGCTTAAACATCACCTTCTTATTGATCTCCTCCCCCAACTTGCCCAGTGAGGACCTCCACCGTCCACAGGAGTCCTCCAGGGCTGACTCATGGGTACCGTTTGTGAGAGTCACATGGGCCCATGCTTGCTGGCTCTCTGATTTTACTCATGAAGCCACCTGAGGGGGTCACCCTGATGCCACCACCTCTGGGGTGCCCATGCCAAGGATGCTGCCTCCCATTGCTGTCACAGTCACTTACCCTGGGGTCCCAGAAGATGCCCAGAGGAGGAACCGCTGCCCCCCAGTTTGCCCGTGGGCACCGGGGCAGCTGTGCTTATGCCCTGAGCTCACAGCTTCCCTCAGGAAAGTGGCCCCTTCACCTTCTGCTTCTCCCCCGCCCCACAAGAGACCAGATGCCACGTCTTTTCTCCCTGGGTCTCCATCTCTCCTATCTCCATCCATCTCTGCTGGGGTCCCCACCTTGGCCAAAAAAAAAAACAACCAAAAAAATTACCTGCCACCACTATGGAAAACAGCATGGAGGTCCCTCAGAAAACTAAAAACAGAATTACCATATGATCCAGCAATCCCATTCCTGGGCATATATCCAGACGAAACTATACCTCAAAAAGATACACGCACCCCTATGTTCATAGCAGCACTATTTACAACAGCCAAGACATGGAAACAACCTAAATGTCCATCTACCGATGAATGGATAAAGATGTGGTACATATATACAATGGAATACTACTCAGCCATAAAAAAGCATGAAATAATGCCATTTGTAGCAACATGGATGCAACTAGAGATTATCATGCCAAGTGAAGTAAGTCAGAAAGAGAAAGACAGGGCTTCCCGGGTGGCGCAGTGGTTAAAAATCTGCCTGCCAATGCAGGGGACACGGGTTCGAGCCCTGGTCCGGGAAGATCCCACATGACGCGGAGCAACAAAGCCCGCGAGCCACAACTACTGAAGCCTGCACGCCTACAGTCCATGCTCTGCAACAAGGGAAGCCACTGCAATGAGAAGCCCACGCACCACAACGAAGAGTAGCCCCTGCTCATCGCAACTAGAGAAAGCCAGCGCGCAGCAGTGAAGACCCAACGCAGCCCAAAATAAGTAAATATATTTTTAAAAAAGAGAAAGACAAATACCACATGATATCACTAATATATGGAATCTAAAATATGACACAAATGAACCTGTCTACAAAACAGAAACAGACTCACAGACATAGAGAACAGATTTGTGGTTGCCAAGGGGGAGGGGAGGTGTGGGAGGGATGTGGGTTTGTGATTAGCAGATACAAACTATTATATATAGAATGGATAAACAACAAGGTCCTACTGTATAGCACAGGAAACTCTATTCAATATCCTGAGATAAACTGTAATGGAAAAGAATATAAAAAAGAATGTACATGTATGTATAACTGAATCACTTTGCTGCACAGCAGAAATTAACACAACATTGTAAATCAACTGTACTTCAATTAAAAAAAACAAATCACCAGCCAAGAAACAAAGCCCCTTGCACACAAACTCATGCAAAGACATGTGAACAAAGGTGCCCAAGAGAAGAGTCTGAGGGCCCACAGCCTGCTTCCTGGGAGTCACATGGTGAGCAGTTTTTAATCCACCTCAAAGCAAAAACAACAGGGAGCCCTGACCAACACTGTGCATCTGACAGTCTGCAGGACTCCAGCGCCGAAGCCAGTTTAGGTTCAGCTGCAACCACTTGCCACAGCCATGGCTACAGCTCAACTCTTCTCTCCGCTAGCTCCAACAAAGGAGTGGTTTATTAAAGGGCATCCGTCAGCCTAAACTTTTGCCTGAAGAAAGGAAACCAAGTTTAGATGCTATTCAGCCCATCATTTAAATGTCTACTCCCACCGCCACTGCCACCCCCAACCCCCAACTCTGAACCCCTGCCACATAGGGACAGGCAAGATCACCTCTGCACCCATGGCTCAAGGTCCCTGAATCCTTGATGCCTGAGTAGTGTTTGCCAAGGTGAGGCGAGGCCTGTTCTGGGAGTCCAGAACCTTCCTTTTGCCCTTTTATAGGAGAAGAAAGAGGGACCGGTGCCTGGCACAGTCAAAATTTTGAAAGTAAACCTGCCTCTCTAATTCCTAGGCTGTCTTATTATGACCTGTCGGGGAGGGGGACGTGAGTGACCAACAGAGCAAAGTAGCGTCTAGGTGGCACTCTAGTCCTTTTGAACGCACAGAAGGTTTAACTGTGTCCTGCATAAAGCTTTGTTCAAGTCCTAACCCACCCCACCCCACCCCACCCCGCCCCGTACCTTGAATGTGACCTTATATGGAAAGAGAGTCTTTGCAAATGTAATTAAGATGAGGTCATACTGGATTAGGGTTGGCCCGACTACAGGTGTCCTAGTAAAAGAAAGGAGAGGGAGATTTAGATACAGAGACACAGAGGGGACACAGGGAAGAAGGCCACGTGACAATAGAGGCAGCGATTGGAGTGATGCAGTTTACAAACCAAGGATGGCCAGGGACCACCAGAAACTAGGAATAGTCAAGGAAGGATTCTTCCCTAGCCTTCAGAGGGAGCGTGGCCTTGCTGACACCTTGATTCAGACTTCTGGCCTCCAAAACTGTGAGACAATAAATTTCTATTATCTTAAGCCACCAAGTTTGTGATATTTTGTCATGGCAGCCCTAGGAGGCTAATACACAGGTGTGTGTTGCTCTGCCTCAAGTGGGGCAACGCTGAATGTTTCCCCTTTCACGTCACCGCCATGTTTAGAACATTCTGCGGCTTCCCAGCTGTACTCAGATTGAAGGCCACGCTCCTCACCATGACCTACAAGGCTCTGTGGGGCAAACTCTAGACACTGCTTACCCAATATTCATTACCCCTCTTTTTTATTAATAGCACATTGATTTTGTAGCAAGCAAATTTGACTGCTTGTCCCTCTTGCCCTTGCCCTTCTCCTTATTCCTGCCTGGAATGCAGATGTGATGACTGCAGCTTCAACAGCCATCTTGTGAGCATAAGGACAAGAGCCACATCCTAAGGCTAGTGGAGTGGAGAGTTAGACAGAACCTAGGTCCCTGGAGGGATGCTTGTTAAGTCCTCGATTCAGCACCCTGTTATACGCAAACATGAATTCTTCCTGATACATAGTAGTCTGGCCCCAACCCACCACCTCTACCTTCCCCCTTGCTCTCCATGCTCCAGCCCTGTTGGGCTTCTCTCAATTCCTGAAATCACCAGGTGCTTGTCTGTCTCAGGACCTTGGTACTTCCTGTATCTCCAAACCTCTTTCTCATTCAGTTCAGAAGCTGACTCTTCTCTGTCCTTCAGACCTCAGCTCAGTGGTCCTTCCTGATGCCCCCGTTACACTCTCATTGCACCTCAGGCTTCTCCCTCTCAATGTGTTGTACA